ACAGGAATTATAATAGAAGTTACCTTTAACACTTGTTTGATAATTAAATGAGTTCATTTATATTAAGGACTTAGAAACATTGGTGATAACTTATAAAAGACAAATAGTAAAACGCTTTATTCTAATAGGTGTGACAGACATGGGAGTGATTAAAGAAAAAAATAAAAACAAAAAATGGGGCTAGAGTGATACTGCAACATGTAGGGCATTTGTCTTGCATGCGGCTGACCCAGTTTGGTCACTGGTATCCCATATCATCCCCCGAGCACTGTCAGGAGTGATCCCTGACTGCAGAGTCAGGAATAACCCCTGAACATCATTGGATGTGACCCCAAAATTACAAAACAAACAAGGAGCCCAAAAAGCAAAGCATACAAACTGAGCACAAAGAAACCTCTAATGACCAGACATGAGAGCTGAGACCTGTATCTTGATTCTATAGTTGACTTTATCCACCTGATAAATGAATGTCACAATACTTGTCCCAGTGTCTGACAACTTGATAAAGTCAACCAAGCAAAACTTGGTTTTCTATAAGAAGCCAACCCCAAGATTTTAGGCAAAATTAATTGTTCTTTCTTGGGCACATGTCCCTCTGCTGTTGATTTGTATATCCAACATAACATCCGTCACACATAATAAGCCTTGTAGTATGTGCTTGTATTTGAACTTTATTTTTTGTGCTGCTTTCTCCAACTAAATAAGGTCTTGGTGATGCAGACAGTTCTACTCACTTTTTTAAAAATCATCTAGCATTGTGACTTGGGCACAATGTGACAAGTGATAAGTAGTTTATTAAAAGGGACTTCGCCAAGTATAGCTTTAGATGAGTATTATTCCTAGTATATGGTTATAACTACTACTCTATGGGATTTACTCAGTATAATTATATGGTTTATCGTCATGAGTTTCAGTAATAAGAGTTAGGTACTGTCAGAATAGATCAAAGCCCACAAGGATTATTTACATAAATTCTGATTGTGTATTTTTGTTTTCTCTCAGAATTATACTCTTACATTAAAATATAACAATTGGTTGCAGCATTTTTTTTTACCTAATAATTGGATCAGATGTGAAATAATCAGTTATGGTGGTGGAGGGGGGGGACTGTCTTCTCATTCTCTGTATTGTTCCCATATGATAAGTGAGGATTATGGAAATAACTAATTAGGTCCTTGTTTGAGTTCCAATAAGAACTTGAAAATGTATTTATTTATTCATTTATTGTGAAATAAATGTCAGTGTTTCTTTTCTCTGTGCTAAGCACAGTGGTAGGCACTGTATAAGGGTTGCGCTGACCTGAATAGACTTGGTCTATCCTGTATGGCTAAACATTAATGTCCACGGATGCATTTGATAACTGAGATTCATCATGCGCTTGTTTTGTTAAAGTGCCAGATGATGAGTCTAACTTATCATTTGACCTGAGATAATAGTTAATACTTACATTCTTGTTAACTGAATATATTCAGTTGCTTTGTAGCAACTGCAACAAAAATCTACCACTTTTGCATAATACTTCAAGCACCAAAAAATTTAATGTTTCATGTGCAAATTTTTTTCAAATAAGTCTGTACCCAAGGGGTTGGGACTAAAAAAAAAAACCAAATATCATAGTCCTTATGAATTAAACTTGAAAGCACAGTTGGAGATCTTTGATCTTAGTTAAACACATTGGATGATTTTCTCTTCCTGCAGTAATTGACTCTACTAAATTGAATGAATCATTTTAGTGTTCATATTGGGGTAAGTCCAGTGTATTGATGAAAATCTACACTGAAAATATATGTGACTTGCTCTGGGAGAATTTTATTCCATGACTTGGTTAGAAGGAGAGGTGTGAGTAGGCCACAAGTAAGTGGCCAAGAATTTTATGTAAATTTGAGCAAGTAACCTTGTTTTTTCTGTAGAATTGGAATATCAGGCTATTAGATTTCTTGGAGAATTAAACTTACATATTCACAGAAACTCTATTGCCTTTGTAATTCCATAACTGGAATTGTTAGTACATCTACAGGTACTATTACTATTTTTTTAACTGGAGAGTGTATGGTTTATTTATTTATTTATTTAATTTTTATTAGTGAAACACCATGAGGTATAGTTGTAGACTTACAAATTGTGCTTGGGTTTCAGTTATACAATGATAAAGTACCCATCCCTCCACCAGTGCCCATCTTCCACCACCACGGGTCCCAGTATCCCTCCCACCCCCCATCTCCCCCATCCCACCTTGCCTCTGTGGCAGGGCATTCCTTTTTGTTCTCTCTCTCTACTATAGGTACTATTAGAACAATGTGTGAAAACCACCAAAAATCAATATCTTTTTTTTTATTAAAATTCACCAGAGTTGCCAACAGTCCTCAAAGCATGAGATCTAATCTACAACAGCCAAACTTAAAAATGCCTGTCAAGGAGGCAGCTGTGGGATGAGAGGGAGCATGAAAACAGTGGTGGAGAAAACTTGACACTGGTAATGGGATTGGTGCTGCAACATTGTATGCCTGGAACTCAACTCTGTCTAACTTTGTAAATCACAGTGTCTTAATTAAAAAAAATTAATTAATTAAAAATTCACTAGAGTGAATAGTGACCACAGAGAGGAAGGAATGAGACTCAATGAAGAAACATGCATTTCTTTATTGTTCTGACTATATGATAAATGAATATTTCTGATCCACTTATGGTGTTTCTAATGAAACCCTAACTTTTAATGAGACCTACATATTAACTTCTCATGTCTTCTTTGTAAACCTCTGAAATCTCTCATTTCATGTTTTACTTGAAAATATTTAAATCGAGTAACTATGCATGCAATTTCTTTCAAAACACAAAACCTGTACATTAGCATCAAAATAAAAAATCAAGACTGCTTAATTAAAACCTTGACACCATCAACCTCTTTAATTATGTGTTAAAGAGACCTGGCATCCTGGGGATACCCACTTACAATCAGTGTGCATTTGAGTGTGATATGGTCTGTGTGCCTGCTTAATTCGCAGAAGGGGGTAGGGGAAAGAAGTGGAAAGAAATCATTTGAAATTTTTTCCTTGGCATGAATGATTTCACATTTTTAAAACACAAAGAGGGTAAATTTGTCTTAACAGAGAAAGAATGCAGAATAGAAAATGAGGCCAGAACAGTTTGTTTCTATCCTATATCCAAATTTCAGTGGATGCTTTTTAAATAATAAAGACTTGAATTATAAATGTCATTAGGAAAATACAGTTCTTTAGTATTTAGCGGATCTACTGGTTGCTTGAATGTATACTAGAGCTCTCATTGGGTAAATGGGGGAGGAGCAGGCTGTTTATCTCTCTCCTTTAGCGTATAGAAATTGTGCAGCGAAACAACTGATTTTCTTCACATCTCAGTTCTTGCTGTCTTCACTATTACGTGACTATTCCCAATTTCTTTTGCTAATGTGAAACCCAGCAGCTCTTTGTTCTCATTGTGTCTGTCCTCTCCCTTTCTTTGTGTTGCAGGGATACTGCTACCCGCATCTGCCACTGAGCATGCGGATAAATCCTTCAATAGATTCTTGCTTAGGACTTTCAGTAGTATTATTCCACTTCTCCAGGTTTTAGTAAGAGCTCGAATATCCTGAAGATCCAGTGAAACTTGGATAGGTGATAGGGGACACAGGTGGTTAGGTAGCCAGGCTACCAAGTTGCCAGCCAGGTGGGAACGTTCAGGTTGTTATCACCCATATTCATGTAAATCGTGGAAGTTCTCACCAACCTTATAAAATGCAGAACACTCCCTCTACCCCACTGAGACTTGCCAGACTGACAACTGAACAGCCACAATGTTTCTAAGTGGAAAATCTCCCTCATATTTAAAGTCAATGCATACAATGGGCTTCATGCTTCCAGAGGGACATGGTACATTGTGGCAAAGCCTGGAATGTCAGTTCTGGAGAGGATGAGAACCTGCTGTGTGGGCTCTTCTCAACACAACATTCAGAATTCTATCATTGTGTCAAACACTTATGATGCTAAGTCAACAAAAATGGAATGAAACTCCATCCAATAGTTCTGCTTAAGAAATATATTTGCAGTGATATTAGGGGTGTTGGGGACTGAATCCTGAGTTTTTGTGACACCCCCTCACCCCAGGAAGACTGGCTTTAATAGCTTGTAAATCATTGAACAGATGGAGCACTACACAATTTTACTCATGTTTCTCCCATAATGATTTCTGCCTGTTCATTGCTAGTGTGCATCACTCTTAAAAAAAGGGGAGTCTGGCACAGAATTAGGTGCTCCCAGACCCTTATTAATGAATGGATGACATATATAGAAGAATGCTCTCCATTTCCTCACGCAGCTCTTGGTAGTAACTGAATAGCTCGAATTAGACTGTTTTAGAATACACTAAAGGCACCCGGCTACTTTCTCTCTCTCTGTCTCTGTCTCTGTCTCTCATTTAGGGAGGTTTTCTTCTTTCTCTTCTGCCTCCTCTCTCCATTTTGTTTCTGAAATGAAAGGAAGGCACCAACAGCATCGTCTCAAAGCCTTTCTGTCGCGCGTTATCTATTTCCGTTTCCTAAGATGTCTTGCAGCCTTTACGTTTTTCTATCGGTTTCACTCGCTAGCGGATAGCAGGTCAGACCGTCAAGCATCTCAGTGCTTCTAGGAAGACGGCAAACCAGGCACTGCAGGATGTGCCCACCTGGGGAGGAGACACCTGCAGAGCGGCCTCCTTGGCACCCAGCCCCTGGCTCCTCTAGGGATGTGCAGCCTCCACGCGCCGCAGCTGCAAGAAGGACCAGTGGCGGGAACGCCGAGGCCAGGTCTCAAGGCACCTGGGGCAAGGTTGCGGGGGGGGGGGGGGGGGGGGGGGCCGGAGGCGTTGGTCCCGCAGCCCCACGCCCACCACCCGGGCAGGCCCCGCCCCCACAGCCTTCACCGCCCCCCCGGCCCCGCCTCCTGGCGCCCGCGCCCCGCCCCGCCCCGGGGCCGTGGCTAAAACCCGGAGCCGCCGCGCGCCCAGGGGACTGGAGGGACGCTCTGAGCATGTGCAGAGCAGCTCGGCGGCGGCTGCCTGGGCCAGAGTCTGGGGCCCGGTGCTGATGCGAAGAGCCGCGCCGGCCGCCGCCCCAGCTCGCTGCGCGTCCCCGGCCGCGGTGGCCGAGCCGGAGCCCTAAGCCTCCCCGCGGCCCCGGGAGCCGACCGCCGCGCGCGCACCCCGCAGCGTCCTCGGCGGCGGTGCTGCCGCGGGAGCCCACGATGATGGCGGAGCAGGTGAAATGCGTCTCGCCGGGGGGCGGCTCCGGCGCGGGCTCCGGGCCCGTGGTGAACGCCGAGCTGGAGGTGAAGAAGCTGCAGGAGCTGGTGCGCAAGCTGGAGAAGCAGAACGAGCAGTTGCGGAGCCGCGCGGCCAGCGCGGCCGCCGCCCCGCACCTGCTGCTGCTGCCCTCGCCGCCGCCCGCCGCACCGCCCCCTGCCGGGGCCTGCAGCCCGCTGAGTCCGCGGAGCCCCCCGGCCGCGGCCGCCGCTGCCTCGGGGGGCCTGGCTCTCGGCTTGGCGCTGGGCGCCGGGGGCGGCGGAGGAGGCGGCACCAGCAGCGGTGGCAGCAGCGGCAGCAGCGGCGGCGGCTCCAGCCCCGCGTTCCCGGGCACCTACTGCCTGCCCAGCCCGGCGCCCTCCCTGCTCTGCAGCCTGGCGCAGCCCCCCGAGGCGCCCTTCGTCTACTTCAAGCCCGCCGCGGGCTTTTTCGGCGCGGGCGGCGGCGGGCCGGAGCCGGGGGTCGCGGGCTCGCCGCCGGGGGTCGCCGCCACGCCGCCCTCGCCGCCCCCCACGCTGCTCGACGAGGTGGAGCCGCTGGACCTGGACAGCGTGGCCGCCTGGCGGGACGGAGACAACTACACCTGGTATTGCCCTGCGGCACCCCGGGTCCTCGGGTAGGGCGGGCGCGGGGACCTCCGCCCCCCGGATGTGCAGCATCCCCCCCTCCCACATGCACCCGGGCAGGTCCGGGGCAGAACTGGCTTCTCTCTAAGGCGAAAACCTGGTTTCTTCTAGCTCAGACGGACCCAGCTGGGGATGGGCTGGTTCCTCTTTCCATTGCCTTAGCGCTCCGCTGTGATCCTGGGGGTCCCAAGCACCGCCTTCGCCTTAATTGCAAGATATGCCATCTTGTCTGTCTACGGCGCGATCTGCACTTAACCTGCTTTTTCTAGGGACCCGAGAGGGGGTTAGCCTCCCTCTCTGCATCTGTTTGTGTGGATTTCACTGCAAGGTCGCTCGCTGGACAGGGTTTGCGTGCGGGTCTCTCCTCCCCAGGCACCTCAAACTGCCCAGTGATGGATCTCTCCCTAGGGATTCTCTGACTTGCACTTGCTGCTGGTGGTGGCGGCGGTTGCTGGTTTGGGATTTGGGGTCACATCTGGCGCTGCGCAGCACTTGCTCTTGGCTCTGTGCTTAGGGTTCACTCTCGGCTGTCCTCTCTCTGCAGGGCCGTCTTGCACTTACTTTCCTGCAGGCAGATTGTCCTCACTTTGCCGCCTGCCCATCAACGATACTTATCATTTCAGGATCTGACCTGCCGGTTTCTTTTTAATTATTGCATCACTGTGAATTACAAAGTTACGAAGTTATTCGTGATTGGGTTTCAGGTGGACAGTGTTCCTGACTTGCTGTTTGAAAAGTGCTAACCACACTGGCGTGAAGATGTCCAGAAAAAGGGCTTCATAGGGAATGGGTCTGCAGCTTCAAGGCACCTTGTTAGTCAGAGACCATGGAACTTTCCGTTTTTTAACTTAAATGGAAATGGTGATGGTGGAGGATAAGGGTGATGAAATAAACTTAATTTATACAGAATCTTTAAATTTGGTATCAGAAGATTTGAGGCTGACATCTTCTCAGTGCTCCTTACCAGGAAGGATGAGAAGTGGAGGTTCTAGTCTGTTTATTTTAAAGATAGTGATGGTGTGAGTGATTTTTGCTGTGTTGGTAGGTTTTCTTAAGTTACTGTGGTAGAGAGGAAAGGCCCCATGAGTGTTCAGTTATGGTGGAACTTTGACAAATGTGTAAAGAGGGAGGACCTTTGAAATTTTTGCCATAGAACTTTCTTTTCTTCTTTTTTTTTAAAGGTCTTTTCAATTTTTCCAAGCTTGTTTCTCTACTCTCTGTGCCTATTGCATGATTGCACATGAGAGAAGGGGAGATGGAACTTGCTGGTTTCCCAGAAGAAACTGGTGTTGCTTTTCCTTCACATTCTTGAGTGTTATAACTCATCACTATGAAACATACTAATTGGTTAGCCAGATTCTGAGACTCAAAATATATGAAGATACAACAAAGCAAGCTCATTCAACATCCTCTTTAGCTTGGACGACTGTGCTTGATTTGTAAAAATTTTTGACAATTTACTGCTTTCTGAAATTTAAAGCCATTCTTTAGAACGCACATCTTTTTTTTTTTTCAAGCCCAGGCTATGATGTTGTTTTTAGCCTAAATATGGTACTAAAGATGCTCTCATGATAATTCTTAGGTTGTCACTAAAGTTGAAGGAAATTTGTTTGCATTTTTGATGAGAGTATATCTTGTACTTTTAAGATATTAGTGTTTAAGAGGCCAGAATGATAGCACAGTGGGTAGGGCGGTCACCTTGCACAAGCCAGCCTGGGTTCAATCCCTGGCACCTGGAGCCTGCTGTGAGTGTCCCTGAGTGCAGAGCAAGAGAAAGCCTTGACCACACAAGGTCTGATCCAAGAACTAAAAAGAAAAAAAAAATGGAATTTAAAATTTAATTGTACTTACTTTATACTTAGATTGGTGATAGTACATATGTAATAACACAATTTTAGTATTTTTCTCTTTTGAATAGACTCCTGTATTTAGTCACTTTTCTGTGATTGCTGTCATTTTCATATCTATATTTTTCTTGGGCAGTGTATTTTTGCATCATTACAAACTACACAGGAGCACCCCTAACCTGAATCTTAACATAGGCTGCTTGTTATTTGGCTCCCTGAAAAGTTCCTCTGAGCATCCAGAAACAGCTTGTAGATACATAGTATCCATTTTAAAAAAAGTTATTTTATTTTGTTTTGGCGGCAAATGCAGAGGTGCACAGAGCTTACTCCTGACTTTGTGCTCAGGGATCACTTCTGGCAGGGCTTGAAAGACTATATGGGGTGCTGGGGACCAAACCGAGGTCAGCCATATGCAAGGCAAGTGCTCTACCTGTTGTACTGTCTCTCCTGCTCAGTATCTGCTAGCACTTCTTAAAGTGTTTGAAAATTGATGTTTTACATTTTATTGTAAAACCAAAATGAAAAAAATTCATGGAAGTCACTAGTACAATTTTTTTCTGTTGTTCCCAGTTCAGTGTTACTACTCAGAATTAATCCTGTTAATGTTAATTCTCTACATCCTTCAAGATAAACATAATTATATATATATGCATATGTATATATATACACATATATAAATCAGTACACAAATAATCAGTTTTGCATTTTCCTGTCATTGAACTTATGTAACAGTGGAATCATTGTTAAAGTAGTAATAGTATTAAAGATAAGTTACTACATTATATCATCTACAATTTTTTTGTGCACTCTTACATTTCAACCTAATGGCTTAAACAAAATTGATGTTTGATTTGTTTTTTCCTTTGTGTAATGATACTTTATGTTAGATAAGGTGCCATATCTCCAGGGGAAAAATCCTTACAAAGGCAATACAAGTTCTTTTCTGTTTTTTTTTTCCCTAGTAAAACCTTAGATTATTACTATTTACCTTTTATTAACAACATGAACAAAGTTTGGCCAAAGGATTGTGTCTAGAAAGAAAGCAGGGACTAGTAGAATCAGCGTTTGCTGGATAAAAGTTTATTAGTGAAAGATCTGAAAGATCTGTCATGTCTCTTGGGATTTTTAACCCACACGATTACTTAACCTGCAAGTGTCTTTAGTTTATGAAACACCCAATTTTGATAAAAGGAAAATGATGTGTTCTGTATTTCATATTGATGAAAAACTTTCAAACAAAACAATTAGTTTCTCCAAATATTTGTCTTGGTTAAACTTAACATATTTTTTTGCCTTAGTAAACCCTGGTTTTCATAACACAGTGCTGCTAGCTAGCATTGAGTGTTTCAGAAAGTTCAAGTTGGGGTTTCAAACCTGAGTTCATAAGTCCAGTTAGTCTGCTTGATTTTTTTTCTTTGGAGGTGACATCTGACTCTGAGCTTTTAGCTCGCTCTCAGCGAAGCCTGGGGGAACCAGGCAGTGCCGGAGATGGAACCTGGGCCCCCACATGTGCACACCCACTTGACCCTGTAGCCCCATTATTCTAATACAGAATAAATTTCAAGTCCTGCTTTGCTGATTCTGGGGTGATCTTCCCACTGATTTGACAGCTGTAACGCACCAGGGTGGGTGAGACCATAGGCTGGAAAGTGACAGGGAGAAAGTAACTCTCAAGAGCAAATGAAAGAGCAAACCTCTTGTGTCCATGGGACACATTGTGACTGAGTGATGTACTAATCTGTCAGAGATCTGTCCCCAGGCTAAGAAGCACCAGCACACAAATAGAATTGGCCACAGTGACACCCATTAACTTCATGCTGGACTTTTCCATGGCCTATTACACTGTATGTCTCTTATTCCAGTGGTGAGCCACTGAAAAGACATAATGTGAACTGAAAAAATAATCTTTCAGTAATTCTTTGAAGACTCAAATTCAGATAATTTTCGTTGACTCAGGTGTGTTTGCACCATTGGTAGTCACCCCCACTCCCCAAGATTAATTGTAGCCCATTAGTGGATTGGCTGACATTTCCTTTTTTTTATAAAAATAATGAAACTGCAGTAGAATTAGAACAGAGTGTATGCTACTGTGCAATATAACCCTTGATTCCAGTTTTGCTTTATAAGTGTGTGAATTGGGTGGCACTAGTGAATTGTGTGTTATATAATTGTGTGTTATGGCCAGAGTTAAAAAAAATTGCAGTTTCTAAGACTTGAATGCAAAGTGGCAGGGCTACCGTGGGTGGAAAAGCATAGCTGTCCGAAGCGAGGGTTCCATTGGGGAAAATGAGGTCCTAAGCTCTTCAGGGTGCAAGACAATCCTGCCTTCAGAAAAGGGTGAGGAAGAAAGAGGCACCCTGGGCTGGAGCTATAGTACAGTGGGGAGGGCATTTGTTTTGCATGCCGCCAACCCAGGTTTGATCCCTGGCATCCTATATGCTCCCCGAGCACCATCAGGAGTAATTTCTGAGTGCAGAGCCAGGAGTGATGTCTGAGCATCTCTAGATGTGACTCAAAGAAAAAAAAAATAGGCAGCCTGCTGTGGAGAGTGTGCAGGGGTGGGACACATGCTTTTTCTAAGAGGGAGGCTGAGTTTGATTCCTGGCACTGCTTGGCATCTTGGGCGCTGAGCCAGGAGTAACTCCTGAGCACCACCGAGTATGACTCCCAAACAAAACAAAGCGAGCTAATATAAAATATAGCCATGTGAAGAGGCATTAATTTTGGTGGAGTGGAATTAACAGAATACTGAGACGTATGAAAAGGGAATGTAACGGGGATTTTTGACTTGACCAACTGGAAGAAACAGGAGGAAAATAGTTAATTATACAATGGAAAACTGGTGGTATTTACAAATTAAGGAAAATTTAATGAATGATAGTCGTCACCCATGTGTAACACCAGGACCCTGGACAGCTGGCTAAAATCATTGCCAAGTCTACATCAGTGCGATTGAACACCTTGTGCTCTACATATGGCACTGCTAAATTAGACCATCGAACTGTTTTTGTGCATAATTGATTTTCAGCGAAAAGACCAGAGGGTGCTTCAGCTTTCTGACAATGCTAATTGAAAATGCATGGTGTTTTCTAGGAGCAAATGGAATTGGAGAG